AAAAAAAAAATAATAATAAAGTAAATTCAGAGTCCTCAGGTTCAACTTCTCAAGGAAGAAATTCTGTCCAATGATAGCCTTTCCCCAAATTCCCTTAATAGAGATCCTAGGACTCCTTTCTCTCCCTGACCTGCCAACCCCTGCCCCCAGCCTGAGGTGCATCTTTAACGGAGTTCTAGGTTAAAATGCAAGCTAAACATGCCCAGTGTTGGGACAGAGTCATCCGCAGAGCATGGCCCTTAAGAACATTTTACTTGTGCCAGGCATGGTGGTGGCTCACGCCTGTAATCCCAGCACTTTGGGAGGCTGAGGTGGGTGGATTGCCTGGGCTCCGGAATTTGAGACCAACCTGAGCAAAAGTGAGACCCCATCTCTAAAAAATAGCTGGGAGTTGTGGCGGGTGCTTGTAGTCTCAGCTACTTGGGAGGCTGATGCAGAAGGACCACTTGAGCTTACGAATTTGAGGTTACTCTGAGTATGATGTCACAGCACTCTTACCGAGGGTGACAAAGTGAGACTTTGTCTCAAAAATAAAACAAAACAAAACAAAACCACTTTGCACTTTAAAGCAGGCAGCACTTGAGAAGCATGGACATGTATCAGAGGAGACTGTGCTGGACAGCCCCCTAGAATAAAGAAGCCAAAGCTGGGTCCCCAAAAATGCACCTTTCATATTTCTGTGCACTCTACTCCTGTCAGGGTGGGTGAGGTGGGTGGCTGTGCACATTTCTAACTGGCTGGACTCTGTGGTGTAGCTGAATCAGAAATTGGTCCCTGCCTTTTGGAGTCCCAGGAAGCAAGTGATTCAAACTGGATTCTCCTCTGGGCCTTGGTATATCTTGAAGGGGAAACCATACTGTTTCCTCTGACTCACCCTCCTGCTGCCACATTTCTGTGCTGTCTGTCCTCGGATTTCAGCATCTGTTCTAGTGTGACAAGAAGAAACAGCTCCCTTGGGTACCAACCTCTCTCCTTCCTGCTATAATGTCAAGAGGGGGAGGTGTGTGTGTGGATTATGAGGCATGCATGTGCGTGTTGGTGCCATCCTCTAGGGAGAAAACTAAAGCTTCCAGGCTCTGCCTGTAGGATAGGTTTCCAGTAGACCATTCTAAGGGCAGCTTTAATTTCTTCAACCCCTTTGGTTTTCTCTGTGATAAAGTCACACTCAGCTCTGTCCCCATGCATGAGTGGCTTTATACACATGATCTGGTTTTTAAGATTTGTGACTACGTATATATTGTTATCTCCATTTTGTTCAGGGTGGCCCAACTAGTAAATGACAGAGCTGGAATTGTGAATCCAGCTGTGAGCCCAAAACATTCATTCTTTCTAGCTCACGACGACAGCTCCCTAATTCTTACATGTCACACTGATAGCTATACAAAGAAAATTACCCAGGCCAGCTCATGCCTGTAATCCCAGCACTCTGGAAGGCTGAGGCAGGTACATGGTTTGAGCTCAGGAGTTCAAGACCAGCCTGAGCAAGAGATAAACCCCATCTCTACTAAACATAAAAATACTACATGATAAAGAGATAAAGAGATAAACCCCATCTCTACTAAACATAAAAATACTACAACCCAATTATAGCCCAAGAAGAAGGGGAAATGGAGTGTGGGGGGGGGAAGGATGGGTGGAGGGAGAGTAGTTGGTGGGACCACACCTACAGTGCATCTTACAAGGGTACATGTGAAATTTACTAGGTGTAGAATATAAATGTCTTAACACAATAACTAAGGAAATTCCTCGAAGGCTATGTTGGCTAGTTTGATGATAGCATTTCAGATTGTGTGTAAAACCAGCACATTGTACCCCCATGATTGTATTAATGTACACAGCTATGATTTAATAATAATAATAATAAAAGTAGCCATAGCTTGGTGCCTGTAGCTTAGCTCATTGCTAGGTTAGCCAGTAATGTATACCGGAGATAGTGGGTTCGAACCCAGCCCAGGGCTGCCAAACAACAATGACAACTACAACCAAAAAATAGCTGGGCATTGTGGCAGGTTCCTATAGTCCCTTGGGAGGCTGGGGCAAGAGAATCGCTTAAAGTCCAAGAGTTTGAGGTTGCTGTGAGCTGTGATACCACAGCGTTCTACTGGGCAACATAGTGAAACTCTGTCTCGAAAACAAACAAACAACAACAACAACAAAACTAGCTGGGAGTCTAGTGGCAGAGGCCTGTAGTCCCAGCTACTCAGAAAGCTAAGACAAGATCACCTGAGCCCAAGAGTCTGTGGTTGCTGTGAGCTATGATGACACCGTCGCACTCTACCCAGGGTGGCAGAGTGAGCTCTGCCTCAAAAAAAAAAAAAGAAAAGAAAAGAAAATTGCCCATGGCAAAACACACAGGACAGTTGAACTCAGCTTCATGAACAATGAACAATGAAACATTTTCAGTGTATAGGTCAAGAAGGAGAGCATTTCAGGCTCCGCGCCTGTGGCTCAAACGGCTAAGGTGTCAGCCACATATTCCTGAGCTGGCAGGTTTGAATCCAGTCTGGGCCCACCAAACAATGACGGCTGCAACCAGAAAATAGCTGGGTGTTGTGGTGGGCACCTGTAGTCCCAGTTACTTGGGAGATGGAGGCAGGAGACTTGCTTGAGCCCAGGAGTTGGAGGTTGCTGTGAGCTGTGATACCACAGCACTCTACCCAGGGGGATAGCTTGAGGCTCTCTCTCAAAAAATAAATAAATAAATAAAAAAGAAAGAGAGCATTTCAGCTAGAGAACATACATGTCCTAAAATCAAGTGATGACTCCAGTCTGTGCTCCCCCATTGCCATTTTTGCTCCAGCTAGTGAATCACTACTGGTTGCACATAAAAATCACCTGAGGAGGCTCAGCGCCCATAGCACAGTGGTTACGTTGCCAGCCACATACACCAAGGGTGGCAGGTTCGAACCTGGCCCAAGCCTTCTAAACGACAGCTCCAACAAAAATTAGCTGGGCATTGTGGCGGGCGCCTATATTCCCAGCTACTTGGGAGGCTGAGACAAGAGAATCCCTTAAGCCCAAGAATTTGAGGTTGGGCGGTGCCTGTGGCTCAGTGCATATGGTGCCAGCCCCATATACCGAAGGTGGCAGGTTCAAACCTAGCCCCAGCCAAATTGCAACAACAACAAAAAAGCTGGGCATGGCTCGGTGCCTGTGGCTCAAGTGGCTAAGGTGCCAGCCACGTACACCTAAGGTGGCGGGTTTGAATCCAGCCCGGGCCCGCCAAACAACAATGATGGCTGCAACCAAAAAATAGCCGAGCACTGTGGCGGGCGCCTGTGGTCCCAGCTACTTGGGAGG